TTATATAAATAATAAGAGCTTGAATATATATTCACTCAAAAATATCTTAACACACATCAGAGACGTTGGATAGAGCTCCTCAAGGTCTATGATTGTAAGATTTTGTATCACTCAAGTAAGAGCAATAGGGTACTCGACGCACTCAACAGAAAAAGTGCAGGTATATTAGCTCACTTAATGATTTTTGAATATAGGGTAATAGGAGCTGCACAACAGATACCGCTTCAGGACTTGTAGAGGGTTACATGTTTGGCCTATCTAACTGTCCAACCCGAACTAATTTAGAGAATACAAGAAGTCCAATTAACTAATTCTACCCTAGTAGCTCTCAAGAAGGATATATAACAGAAAGTGAACCTAGAATTTTGAGCCTCTACCGATGGGTTGCTCAAGTTCCAGAATATAGTGTGTGTCCCAGATGACAGTGAACTAAAAAGGAACATCATCACAAATACCCATAGTTCAAAGTTCACCATGCATCCCAAAAATATTAAAATATATCAAAGTATGTGACTCCGATTTTAGTAGAGCGGGATGAAAAGAGAAATCGTCGATTTCGTCTCCAAGTGCCTTATATATCAATAGGTTAAGGCAAAGCATCAACACTTAGGTGGGCTACTTCAGCCATTATTGATTTTAGAGTCGAAATGAGAATATATAACCATGGATTTTGTAACAGGGTTACCTAAGGCACGCTTGGGACAATATGCTATCTGGGCAATTATTGATCAGCTCACAAAGGTCTTTCTTTTCTTGGCTATCAAAATGATCAACCCCTTAAACAAGATAGCAAGAATTATATTCGGGAGATAGTCAAGCTACATGGAGTTTCAGTGACAGTGGTATTTAAAAAAGACTCTAGGTTCACCTTTCAGTTTTTGTCTAGTTTTCAGCAAGCAATGAGAACAAAAATGTCCTTCCGCATAGCATTCCACCTTCAAACTAATGGATAGTCAGAACGAACAATTCACACATTAGAGGATAAGCTTAGAACTTGTGTTCTAAACTTCGGAGGGCATTGGGATGATTATCTGCCCATGATCGAGTTCGCCTACAATAACAGTTATCAAGTATTGGCATGACCCCGTATGAGGCATTGTATAACTGACCCTGTATGTCACCAATCTATTGGGAAGAGGTGGGTGATAAATTTTTTTTTGGCCTAGATCTTATAGAGGAGACCACAAACAAGATAGTTAAAATTAGGAGAACATCTAGATAGTTTACAGTAGATAGAAGAGTTATGCGGACACCTAGATGAGAGATTTAGAATTTGAGAATGATGATCGAGTGTTTCTTACGTCACCCGCTTTATGTATCACAGGTTGGTATGAGAGAAATAAATACTAGACTCATCGGACATTGA